CTTGCTACAACACTGAAAGCCCTTTTCTTTGGCTTGAAACCTTGTAAGAAAAGCTGCGCTCCACTAAGTCTCTCAAACCTTGCCCTGCTCTCCCTCCTTACAGCCACAAACACTCATTTGTTCCACTGGAGGTGGAGACTATGTAGTGGCAAATAGAGCTCTTTGAAATAAATTAGATCTACAAAGGTGTTCGTCTGTCTGCCAAGTTAACAGATGAATCATGTTGACAAGGTCTTTACATGCTTGAATGAGTTTGCCCAAATACCTAAGATTATAAATCTGTTTTTGGAGTGCAGTAGTTTCTTTTGATCTGAAGCCTCACCTACAGGTGATATAAGACATTTGTGTAACCAGCTTTGCATATTCCATGAAGCAGTTTGTTTTTAAGAGTTTAAGATTTAGTTGCAAGAAAATGATAATCAGAATAGAACAAGTCAAGGTTTGTTCCAGCCCTGCACCAAACAAGAAAAAAACAACAGAGGAAAAGTTCCAAAACAGAGGAATACGGTTTTCCATAACCTACTAGCTGTGCTTTACTGTTAAAGCACTCTGCTTTAGCATTAAACAACAATCCTTCATGGTTCCTGATAGAGAGCAACTTGAATTTAATGCAGCTTGCTCCCTTTGAATTTTTAAAACAGACTTTCAAAGGGAAAAATTGAACCAACTGGCCCAAACTGATTTACAATGTTAGCCAGTAATTCTGATACACTGATGAACATTTAATAAGAATCATTTTGATTTCAATCTTTTTAGTCTTCAGGGATGCAGCAGTTAACCACACACTAGGAAGGGACTGAAGCTTTTAATCCCTATTTCCTTCTAACACGTCTGTGTTAAAATCTGCACACAATAGAAGAGATTAGTAGGCAAAAGCTAACACCACCACGTGAGATTAAGACTTTTCCTGTTCCCAGGATAAAGCGGGTGACAAAGTATTGAAATTGAAGGAAAGTTCATCTGCTCTCACAAAAGGAAGGATTGCCATCAGACAAACTTAGGCATGAGGTAATTGACAGAGTGGTAAAGGAGAGGAACAGACGTACACCAGAAGCTGCTCAGGTCTGCCAAGTTTGATAGCTTTCAGGCAAACGAGGTTCTATAAAGAACCATCCTTACACACACATTCCCCACTGGGTCAGGTGCACCTCATAAAACTGTTGATAGCAGCTGAAAGTGTAGTCTACTCCACACTTACACAATAATTCACTTGCACATAGCATCAGCAAATGCAGCCCAAAACCCTGAAAAATAAGAGTCCCACATGGTAAGTACAATAAATGCCATAACCACAATAAAGATGAAACATGAGATCTCCCCATAGCTTAGAATGGGCCCTTTTGTGTTACTTTTTGCAGCAGCAGCATTAGGACTTTGGTATATAGAAGCAAGCACAGTGTTTGATCACAGCTCTCAGCTTTCACCTCAGCAAACTGCCAAAAATGGGAAAGGTAAGCAGAAGCCCCAGTATGCCAGTACCCTGCTCTGACACAGACACTGGGATAGAGTATAAGTCTTTGCAAGTGCTTATATTGCAGATTTTTATTTTTTTTTTTTATGACGACAAGAGCTTCTGGGGCCATTGCTATGAATGTAGCAGTGGCCACCTTGGCCTGTGGTTCTATGTGAAACAATGCAATTCCATCCAGGTGGAAAAAGGCAGTTGAATGACTTATAAGAACCCCAATTACTCAGGACACCAGTACTTTTTAAAAAGAGGAGACTATCCTGAGTCCCGGAAGTGGTTCAGTCTCTGCAACTCCATCAGGTCTTACCATGTAATCCTACAAGAGAGTTCTGCTTGGAGCATATCACAGTTTAAGAAATTGGGTATAGTTTATCCTTTAAGAATATCTTTATACAGTCTCTTCAAGTAACTCAAGAGACAGGCAAAGTTCAGTAAGGCAATGCAAAGTTTCACTGGAGATGAAGCAAATAATCTGTTTCATATCAGTGCTATTTCCAGGGCCTGTTCATAACTTGGAGATGCTAAAAGAAAGCTGAGTGACTACTTCTAGGTAGAGAATATTTTTACATTGCCCAGGGAAGAGAGAGCAGGGCCAGCTGACAAAGTTCTGCTGTGGGCTGATGTATGCAACTTGCTCATGACCATGCTATGTTATGATTCAATGACACAAGAACATGTTAAATCAGATTTGCCATGGGTATGGCTTTCCTAACACAAAATCTGTGTTGGTTAAAATCAGGCAAAGAATTAATACTTCCTACAGTACTTCTCTGGTTAGTAAGATAGTGTAAGCCATAGCAGCAGGAACACTCCACATGCCTGTGCTTCACATAACTCAGCAGTTTGTCACGTGGCAGTTGCCTGCGCACCAGTGTGTAATGGGAGCATATAGAGTAACATGGTAACTGTCTTTTAGTAGCATAACTCTGAAAAGACCACATTATTCATGCCTGGTCATGAGTAAGCACCACAGATCATCTCGAAGTCACATGAATACATTTTCTCCTATTGTCACAATATAGAGTCCTTATAAATCTCATTTCTTCAAATCATAAAGCATCCTCCTCTTACTTCCTACTGCACATGTGATCACATTCATTTGCTGGCACTCTGGAGCTCCTCCATGTGGGTAAGAATTAAGCCTTCTCTATTAGCTTCAAAAGAGTGAATCTCTTCACAATCCCATCTCCAGAATAGAACACAATTTATCAGAAATGCATATAGTATCTGGGAATGTTGCCTTTTTCTGTATGTCTGTCTTGTTCAGTAATATCAGAATCAGTTAAATTTGTCTTTCCCACACTTTTTTGCTGTGTTTGCCACTGCAGAATTCTGTTTCCCACAAGGTTCAGCTCTATGAAAAAGAGGAGTTCCAAGGCCAAATGTTGGAGCTCACTGATGATTGCCCATCAGTCCCAGGCTGCATCGATCCCCCCGAGATCTGCTCCCTCAATGTTTTAGGTCACTCTTCGACATTGTATGAAATGCCCAACTTCAGGGGCCAACAGTACTTATTGAAACCCAGGGAATACAGAAGATTCCTTGACTGGGGTGCAGTAAATGCCAAAATTGTCTCTTTACAGAGGCTGGTTGACTTGCACTGAGGTATTGCTCCCACGCTAAATAAACAGTGAATGCATTCCAAAATCCTTGTTGAAATGAATCTTCCTTCAGTACTACAAACAAATTAAAGTTGTGCAGTCCAGAGGGAAATCCAATTTCTCTCACATTTTAGGGGGAGGAGGAATGCTTTAAAAAATATTCACAAATATCCAGCTGTTCCACAGTACACAATAATTTCAATAACTGTTAAAGGTCCAACTGCATATTGCTAACCCTGGTAAGTGTAGAGCTCCTCAGTCATTACTTCACTGGATATAGCTATTAATGGTCTGATTCTTCCATCTAAGTTTTACCCAGTTTTTGAAGTTTTAATCTAGGAATAAATTCCAGCTCTATACATACCAGGGTTCACAATATGCAGTTGGACCTTTAACAGTTATTTAAATTACCACTTACTGTGGAACAGAAAAGTAAGTCCCATTAATAGTTATATCCGTTGAAGTACTGACTGAGGAGGAAAAGGACAGAAAGATGCAGAGGAAATCAGAACAAGGTGAACACTATATTTAGCATCAAATTCATCATGCAAACAAGCTACTCCATGCTACCACCAGTCCAGCAAAGTTTTCCAGTCTTACGCCAGCTGATTCCTCCAGAAAGAATTTTTCCACATCCTTAAATCACACCACATTTATATAGCATTTTTTAGTGAACCTGTACTTCATGAACTGGATGTTTAGCTGTTGTCAGTTGCACTGCGTCTACTAACTAGAGATGCACTGATCTGCTGCAGCAGGTGATTGAGCCAAATTGCTCAATTGCCAGGCTATTCTGCATGCAAAAGGAATTAAATAAGCATACCAGTGTGGATTAGAAACAGGGCAACATCTGGAAAAAGTCTATTGCAGCATTAATTAACATTCAAGTAATTATGTATATGCCTGCTAATCACTGAATCCTGTGCCAGAAGGCACTCTGTGCATTAATGAATGAGAGCCGTAATAAAATATAACAAAACAGAGGTAAGGGATCTCACATCTTAACATACCTTTTTTCATTTAGTTGAGTCCAGATTATTTTTTTTCCCCAGGCATAGTTAGGCAAATATACTACTGTTCTTCTGCAAGGTGCTGGAGACTTTTGGAAAGAGAAAGCAGTACAAAGAGCACAGAACGACTAGGACACTCTGCAACCTTATCTAGTATATGTTTAATTTTAATGGTTTAATTTCATCTGGGCTTTAAACGGTAGGCTTTGACTTTGTTTTGCCTAGTAAATGTTCTGGTAATGGAGTCCTTGAATACAACCAAGCAACTTCTACAGCAATGAGGTAGACTGCTTAAAACTTACATCTCTACTTGTTAATGTCAGAGACCTCATTTAGCCATTATTTCACGCTCACATGACCCATCAGTAATAGCCTGTTACTGATCCTCACCAGCCTTTCCCTGACAACACTTGAGCGGAAAATAGAATTATTCTTTGCCCTTCTCGTCCTTTCTTTTGTACAGAGGACACTATCTCTCCCCTCCTGACTGTCCTTTACTGCACAAAGTAGGCTGTTCAGCTGCTGCAAGTGTCTGGTGTCCATAAGAACACCATGCTTCAGCCAGAGAGAAATGGAGCGTGAACAATTCAGCTCTCAAGGCAGAGGTGTGAAAAAGCATGTTTCCTCTTGTTCACAAATGCTTAATATTGTTCATTTATAGGAACTGCATAGTGTAATAGGTGCATTAGCATGCTTAGGTGAGCATGCTAACCCAGGTTTGCAAAATAACACAGAAATTCAAGCACAGCATTTACTTGCATGCTTGGAACAAGGAACCAAAATACTTCATTTGCCTTCAGCAAAAAAAAAGAAAAAGCAGACCAGCTCCACAGACAGCAATTAACATGCCTACGTACTCCAACAAAGTATCTAGTTCAATTAGTGCAATTGAGAAATATGGCTACATAGTGATGTGAGAGTTACACGCTGGCATTCCTTTGGTCAAAGGCAAGAATGAAAAGAAATGTACTATTCAGTAATCAGAGCAAGATGTCTGGATTTTTGATTCTGCTGCATCCTAGAGTTTGGGGATGGCTAAACCTCTCCAAATTTCTCCACCTGACACAGGAATGGTGGCAATTCCTAGTTTTCGAGGAGTACTGAGAGGTTTTACTTGCTTTTGTTTGCAAATGCCCAGAGAATCTCAAGCAGACATTAGGAACAAGGGTGCTAGAGGAGAGGAGCACTGGGAATCCACAGAGAGCATCTAAGTTTTCGCTAACAAGTCTTCTAGGTTCCTGTAGCTTGATTTGTGCTTGGTAGCAGGCACTACAGTTGCTGGCATGCAGGGTATGTTTCTCAACACAAACACTCACTGCTATTTGCAGATTATCCCGATGCTTTTCTGGGGTGCAAAAGCAGTCAATCTCCATGTAAAAACAGCTGTCATAACAGCATACTAGTTGAGGGCAGTTGGAACAGATGTAAATAACCAGACTCCTCAGATCACGGATATCATTTGGCTAACAAGATATTTTGGCTCCAGGGTTTAACAAAAAAAAAAAAAAAAAAAAAAAAATCAATCCACAGACCTTCCTGCAGTACACAGCCCATCTGTGGCATAGGGTCCTGGGAGGGGAAAGTCTGCGGGATTCAAGGAGAAGCTGGATGAGTACTTGGAAGACAAATCCACTGAGGATTATTAACCAGAGAGAAGTAATCTCCTGCTCAGGAAACCGCTTGAGCTAAAAATACTTGAGGTCTTGAAGTCTGAATGAAGTATCATGTGTACTTGCTTCGTATCTACCCTTCCCTCAGTGCCTACTCATGGTCACCATTGCTGCCAAGGTACCTGAATAGCTGCACCACTGGTCTGACCCATGATGGCTGCTCTACATCTGTAGCTACAAGAAGGCATTCATATATCACTGCCCACGTTCTGGTCTCTCAAGTTCCAAACTTGGTCACCAAGCCCAGTGTTCACTGTATTAAACTATGTTAGACCATACAGAACCCAAAAGACAAGCCAGCTTCACAAAGCAAGCATGATCACAGAAAGAACAACAACAAAAAGGTGTAATACTTCTGAGCCTGTCAAAGATCTTTGAGAAACTCCAGCACAGGCCTGCACATAGAAGTTGTTCCTGTAAGTGAATTTAATTTGCTTAGCATTAGCCATCAGGAAGAAGTTATTTTTGATCTAAAGAAAGCCTGGAGGCTCCAGAAGCAACTGCTAGACTTAAATTCCCACTCTTCCCTCATCAGTCTGCTTTCAGTGTTAAAGGCTACAATTTCCTGGCTGAGGAAGCACCTCCAAGAGAGAGGCTGACAGCAGCAATACCATTTACAACACCCGTAAGAAGCACAACTAGAGCTGTGTAAAAACAGGCCAGATAAAGACTTGGCCCTGAAGTTTTCTAGCTTCATGAAATCACCATACAAGGCTCATAGTGAAAGACACATGCAAGAAAGCACAAGCATGTAGTGTTTTGGTTGAACAAGAAGCCAGCAAGACAAAAAGATCCACTATTGCTCCATGCAGTATGAGTATGAGCAGGAAATATGAAAATGCACATAAGATTTTGTGAAGGTTAGTTCAAAGGTGGGTGTGGAAGGAGAGAAAAGGCAGGCAAGCAGGAGAGAAAGGAATGGTCCCTGGAAAAAAAACAAAACCAAGTTATAGAAAAGTATTTAAAACTCCAGAAGAATAACTCAAAACTGTGCTGTTTTGTCGTTTTCATTTGAAAAACAGTCTTGGATTATTTTTTTATTTATTTCAAATAGATAACATTTCCTTGATATTTTAACATTGGTTTGTACTTAGGGTTTGTAATTACTAGACTGAATGAAAAATACTTAAAAGGCCTGATCTAGCACTGGTAGCACAAAACATTTACTCCCATTTGGTTAATAGGGTTATCTCCCACTACTCAAAGGAGACAAACTGAGAAAAAAGTTCCTGCTGGAACCAAATGATCAACAGAATAACTTTACCTAAATAGCCCCAGAGTATATCAGCTTCAGCCTGCCCTTCCAATAAATTCAAAACAGCTCTGACTTTGAGGCTGCCTATTCCCCACACTTCTAAAGACCACTGCAATGTATCAATTCACTGAGAATTGCACTATACTACATCAAACAAGGGCCCAGAATGAACACAGTCCTGAGCATTTTGGGGATTAATCAGCTCAGACTGAAAATTTACTACAGTGTTCTTCCTAAGCAACAGGGTTTCTTTAACTTCAGCTGCAATTAAAGTTTCTTCAGCTGAAAAAATTACTTCGCTGTTGCATTTTGCCTCAGTGAGTCATACCTGAGCTCCAAAAATCTGTACATCTCTCAAGTGAAATGTTTCTCTCTGCAGATTTAGAAAGGCTCTTCTCTACCTTAAACATGTAGTATCCATCCTTCAACTTCTAGTCTCCTTATGAACTCTGAATTACATTAATATAGAATTTCAGTAGTGAAGCCTGGATGGATGTAAACATCCATTACCATACATTTTTGATTACATCATTTTCTCTCTCATACACATACTGTTAAAGGAAACAGGCAGCAATACCTGGGCTGAAGGCTCCTGAAACTCAGGACAGTTTTTATTAGCATACCATGAAAAATGTTTTACAGTATCATCACTGGGAATCCATATGCATTAAAAAAAAGCTTTGTTTTTCTCTGGAACAGAGAGAGATTAAAAATAAAGTGACATGTAACAATTCCAATGCAGCATGTCCAGCACTTTCTCTTGCACATGCTCCATCAGTAATATAACAGAAATATTTCTCGATCTACCCTTTACTCTTGTCCTCCGCTTATTGACAGTAACAATGACAGTTTGCAGTATCTCACAAACAACTCTATTACCTTTTGTTTAGAAAATAGCAGTGGAGAGAGGGAGGGGAAAAAACATTCATTCTCTTCACCAAGCACAAAAATTCTCTTTTATCATATTCCTGTCAATGCAGCACTGTGCATTCTATATAAAGGACTGCTGAATCCTCCAGCATGCTGAGGTCTCACAGCTAAACCTTGGTGAAAATGGCAAAGGTAAGAACAGCTAAGTGAATGGACCACCGACAAACAAACTAGCAAAAGCATAGCTCCTTGTAGGCAAGTATGTTTGCAAACAGAGTTTGTTGGTCTACCAACAAATTAGCAGAGGGGACACCTTGAGTGGTTGTTTTATTATCTAGCTCTTGGATAAGTTTCCTAAAGAAAGTCTATAGTGTACTTGGAAGCTTTCAAATGCCAAAACATTTACACATAAAAATCTTTTGTTGTTATTTTTCTATCTGGCTAGTTTCCTTTTGAGTTTGTCAGCTGCTGAAAGAGACCTAAAGTTTATATATTCTTAGACTTCTAAGATGTACAGGAAAATAAGGTTGAAGTACTCTATGCCAAACAAATGTAATAAATATCACCAAACAATGCCACTGAATTTAAGTATCTCTGACTTGATTTACTGCTGCCGAGACATAGCTACCCAACACCTAGAGTGTTCAATGATTAACTCAGGTTAGACACAAGAGTCTTGTTTTGCTCCTGTGTCATTAAGAGAGGTGAAAGCTTCAGCATAATTCAAGTGTAGGAGAACTATTCCTTCTTTGTCTGTATTCTACATTGCAGAAGATTTCTAGGAGCCCAGGATTGGGTGCAGGAGACTGGCACAAAGTTGAATGATTGTGTGATACACAGAAGTCATCCATGGACCTTTCAGCCAAAGAGCAATTTGGGTTTCACTTTCTCCAACTGCTCCCAAAAACTTGTCATGGAGCTACTGACAACCTATTTCCAGCATGAAATCATGATGAAAGTTGCCCCCCCACTTCCCAGAGTCCCAAAGGGACATCCACCTGTCATTTCTAGTACTAGAGAAATGAAGACACCGGCAACTGTCTGTGTGTCCTATAAAAAATGGACATAAGGGCTTTGATAGTCTTTAGGCCTGGTAGAAGTATCCTTATGGACCTAGATTGTACAAAACAATCTAGGCAAAACAAAACCAGCTTTCAAATATTCTCCAGTGTGACTGGGGTTACTTATGTTTTATTGGAGATCGCTTTCTTTGAGCATAGAGACTTTCCAGGCTGTTCCTTTGAAGCCACCTGCCTGCCCATCTCAAGCACTGCAACTCTCTCAAGGCCAACTGGCAGCTGGATGATCTGTGAACATCCCAACTACATAGACCATCAGTACTTCCTGAGGAAGGGAGGATATCTTGATTACTAGCACTGGATGGGCTTCAATGACTCCATTCGGTCTTGTTGTATCACTACAGCAGGAAATATTCCATATTGTCTCCATGTATGTTACTGCCTATATTAGAATCAGAGCATTACAACCCATTTTGACAGTGCTGGCACAAGTAGCAACTTCCCCAGACACCTCTGTGTAGAAGGAGAGTAATAGAAAGGACACTTGCCAAGTTCACCTAATGAGGTTTAGAGTCCCAAAGGGGTAGATAAGTCAGTTGGGATTCTCAGCCAAATGAATGGTTGGTTAATGGTTGGGGGAGGAGGCGGGATGACTTTATTATATTAATAGTTTAATAGTATGTTTATCTATATATGAAAACACTTCACCAGTCTTCTAAACCCTCTCTGGCTATACATGATCTACACAAGAAAGTTTAGGACAGAGCTAAGAACCAAACCGCATCTTCCATGTCCCAGTCAATGCTCTTCTTTCAAGGACAGCAAAGTTTGTGACTACACTACTACAGAAGCAACCTGACACATCTCATTGCAGAGACACCAACATGTATTTGAGCTGCAAGTGAAGGCCTATTTGCTTTGTGGTAGATTTTTATCTGAATGCTTCAGCCCAGAATAGATCTGTGTTTTTCCCTCCTAGACTCATTCCCTGGAAAAGTTTTACTAAGAGGGGAGAGGTTGCCGAGATGTGAAAGATTTCAGTACTCACACATAAAGCTGAGGAATTGATGATTGGCCCAGGAATAGCCTTGACACTGGAATATGTCCTTCCAATGTTCATGAAAAGTTAGGTCCATCCATGTCGTAAGCTTTATGTACAATTCACAGTTTCCCTGTCCAGTAGAAGCTTCATAGACCATCACAGCAAGTTTCCAGATACATTCCATCTGCATAGGATAACGCAGCTATTTTTTCCACTGACACGCAGTTCTGGGCTTTACTTAGCTAAGACAAGTTCTGTATCCAATTGCTGAAAGCTAGTGCAGAAACTCTTATGTCAAGCTGTAGAGAGAAAGAAGTCACAGATGAGGAGGGTGGGAACAAGATGGACTGAAGGGAAGTCAACTTGGGAGAATGATGGGAAGTATCTGAGAAGGAGCAGAGAAGCTGAGAATTGGTATGGGAGCAGAAAAAAGTAATCCTAAAATTAGAACACATTTCTAAATGCTTTACAGATTCAGAACAAGAGTGTCCAGAAAGTTTAGTTCCACAAATGCAGATATTAAAGTATTGTTGGGTTTGGTGGTTGGGTTTTTTTTTTTCCAAACTGAGTAAGGCATTGGTCTTTGCACAGCTGCAGTACTCTTGTGTCTATACAACTGCACTTGAGCACCTGCAAAGACTATATTGCGCATTGCACATTGATGCAAGAGCAGAAAGTATTTTTCTGTATCAAATCTTTGCTGTACTAGATACCAGAGTCCAAGACAGTCCTGAAACAGTTTATCATCTTAGTAGATGAAAAGCAAGAAAACCCACCCACTTAAGGCCACGCAACAAAAATAGGATCAGAAAAAGCTCCCCTCTGTCCCAGCCAGAGCCTTATCCAGTTATTACATCAACATCTGGGAACACTGAGGGCACATGACTGCTGTGGCAATCCAGGTATATCACTGATCTGCATGTACGGTTGTGTGGTGATCTTGGCAGGACCCCACTTCTGCTTCCTGCCCTACTGCAACTCTTTCAAAGAAAGAGTAGTTCTGCTCTGACTGGAGCAGAAAGGACTCACAGCACTACTGCTTTAAATTAGGACCCAGTCAGATTTATTCCTGTTAAACTGACTTTTCTGCACATACTAATGGCTATTCATTGTTGTGTTGCTAGCATCAGTATTGCACCTAGCAAGATGTAGTCACCTAGAACTGCCACTTGACATGCTGTGCATCCATGTCTGGATTTGGCTTTGCAGCCCCAGGCGCAAAGCCAGCTACAGATCTATGAGAGGATGCTATCAAAGGCAGGATGTTGAGTTCATGGATAACTGCTCTTCTCTCCAGGATGACTTTGACTACAGGCACATCAGGTCCTGTAAAGTACTTGAAAGAAGCTGGGTTCTCTATGAACAGCTGCACTTCTGAGAACAGCAGTATCTCCTGAGGCCTGGTAAGTACAGGTGATTCACCAGCTGGGGTGCCATGACTGCCAAAGTTGGATCCTTCCAACCAACAGTGGATATTTCCAAACCTATACATCAATGGGTAGTGCAATTAGTACTTTAAGGCCAAGGAGTTTCACCAGCCTACATGGATTAGGCTCCCTTTTCTTGCAATGCTTTTAGCCTTTGATTTAAAACCCAGCAGAGTCAAAGTGTCTTGACTACAGTGGGCTTCAGAGCCTGTGCTTGCTTTTGTAATTCCCTTGAAGTCAGTAGAGGTAGTCAGTGGAGGTGAGCTGGTAACACCCAAGCTCAACAGAAACTTGCACCTAAATTGCCAAGCCAATTTTTTTTATCTGCAGTCTCAGATCAATTTAAAAACAGCATCTGTGAAGAAAAATATTATTGCAGACCTTAGAGGAAAAAAGTGAAATACATTCTTCATTTATGATCATGAAAATCCAAAAATCCACCTGTAACTGAATCCATGCAACCAACTCCATGCTTGAATTTATCACAGGGTGTACCTTACATCTTGACTGGCCCCATAAAAGCAATGTCCTTCTCAGAAGTAGCTCTCCTGTGAATAGACTGGCAAGTTCACAGCCACAGTATCATCACAGAGGTACTGCAAACCAAATCTGCAGCTGTGACACTAGGTGACTTAGGACAAAGCAAGGCATTTACAGTATTTACTATCTTTATTAACAAGAATTATTTCTGCCAGTGACCATTTGTAATGCTACAGATATCAAAATAAATCTTTCAGTTGCTTATTCACTTTATGAGGAAAAAACAGTTCCTGGTGCCAAATAATTCCTGCTGCCATTTAGCATTAAGTCCAGAGTTCTGCACAGGACTGCTCCCATTTCCAGCTCAGGGCCTGCACTATGCTCTTTTGTTTAGCCAGGACCTCACACTGTTTGTAGACCTGAACTCATGGTGACCCTCCATAGCACAGAGAATTAGTAACTTTCCCTAGCGTCTGGGGTTAGAAACCAGAAGAGAGACCCATTATGTTAAAGAGTCTACAATCCATTCAGTGTGCAAGTGGGCCCCCACAAATCTCACACATACTTTAACAGCACACTGTTTACACAACACTGCAGGATCCTTAAAACTCTGCTTTCAAGTTTTACAACACTAGCCATCATTCAGGTCTCTGTACCCTTTCTGTGTCAGGAGTTAGGCTAGCAGAGTCCCTGGAGAATTCACAAGGGCACAGCCTTGGTTTCACAACCCACTCAGAAGCAGGCACTGTGCTGCAGCCAACATCTAACTTCTGGAAGGCCATAGTGCTAACATTTTGCAAGTATCCCACCTCTAGCAGCAGTTGGAGGTTTCCTAAGCCCATTTGTCTTTAGTTACTTCCCTTCATTTGCTTTCTTCTCCAAACCAAGAGGAGTAAGGCTCCAAGTTGCTATAGCAGGCATTCTTGGGACAACATTACCCTGTCAGCTGAGAAGGAATTAAGTTCAGACATATCACCAGAGACTACCGACACCTACATATCCTTAAGCCTTGGTTGGTACCACTTTGTTGTTTTATTTTTTTTTTTCCTGGTATACTGATCAGTTTCAGGAGCCGTGCTGCAGATCCAGATCTGCTGAGCACTGCAACATAATGAAATCATTCATTAAACAACTTCTTAACTAAAGGAGAATGATTTGAAGTTCAAGGAGAATGATTTGAAGTTCAAGTATGGTAACTTCACTAATCACTGGAAATAAGATGGTGGACAGTAAGGGATGGCTTACTTTGAGTGAAAAGTCAGTTTGGTGGAAGAAGACCACTTTTACAATGTCATCTTGTGCAATAACAACTGGTGTCTTCGAGCATCTGCAAAACAAAGACAACTGTAGTACAAGTCCACAGATGCTAGCTCTAGCGTAGCTAACCTAAATGACAGCTGAGGAGAGGGACAGTTCTAAGCCTGAACACACATCCATGGATCTTTACTGGCTGTTAGAGCTTTCAAGAACCTAGGCAGACGAAAGAATATAAACACATACTATATATTTAGTCTGAAAGAGTCTTTAAGACTTTAAGTCTCTACACAGGAACATTCCTAGAACAGTACCAAACTTAAGGCCTGTGGTAAGGGAGCCTATGCTACAGAAAAGGAGAAGAGATCAAGTTACTGCCTGGGCCTTTTACAGCAGGGGATCGGTTATATTGAAGGCCCCCTGTGGAAACAAGCTGAAAGGACAGAGAAGGACAAAAACACCATGGTCCCAGGCTACCATGGGGTAAATTCCTTCCTGAATTTAAGTCTAGTGAATGGTTTAACTCTGCATATATGAAAGCGGAGCAGTCAGGGGCCAGAGGGACTTAACACTATTAGCCAGACCATCACCTTCCAGCTTTAGCTCTGTCAAGTCTCCAACACTTTGAAAGAAAGTAATAAAATGCCTAGATACCAGCTTACATATCAAGGGGCAAACAAATTCCTTCCCATTTCCAAGCAACTATCAAGCCCTGAACTACCTGGGGTACAATGTGAATATGGTGACAGAAGGAAGATCAAACACTAATTAAGTTTGCTGGCTTACCTAACAGAACAGTTGCATGCTCGTTTTGTACAATCAGCCAGAGAAACTGAAGGCAAACAGATCCTGTACTACCCTCAGCAAAACACCATCTCAGGCCTTAGCATCTTGCAAGGGTCAGCTCGCTCTTTTCCAACAGCCATATCAAATGCAATCTCAAGTTAATTTGGCTTGAATGTCTAGAAACTAGCATCCACAAAGTCCTGTTTCTTTACATACAGCAAAAGGTATTTTGATAGTGGGAGTTTTACACACAGCTGCTAACATCACTTGCTTATTTAGAATGCAAAGATTACTCCTTGCCTCTGTGCAAGGGTCTGTTTGTAAAGAAAGATGGAAGAGTTGAGAAGCAGGTTCATTTCTAAGCATATTTCAGGTCTTCATTGATAGTAAACAAAGCATTAGCCCTAAGACATCAAGCAAAACCTCAGCTAAAAGCCTTACCATAAACTTATCTCAGCATGATTTTTGCTGGCCTGAGGCATGATCTCAGGAGAAACCTTCGAGCCAAACAACAGGTTGGAGAATATCTGAAAGTCAGGTACAGATTTTTGCCTTTTTCATTTACTTCTACAGAAAATAAGTATAGCTTAACCTTTTGTTAAGCTTACTATGAGGTGCGTGGTTTTTCCTGCCACTTCAGAGGTCCCTGGACTCAAAGCTGCAGTCTAATGCAGCCCATCCCTCTGTTGAATCTTTCTTTAACCTCAAATTCATGCCTTCTCCCTATCCACACCCATCTCTCTACCATTCTGTTACCTGAACTTGCTGACTGGCAAGTTCCATCCATAATAGGATGACCGAGTTACTAATATACAGCTACTGAAGAGAGATAAAGTACAAAACCACAAGTAATGAATAAAGTATGAGAAATAACCACTGTTGTAAACAGACAGTTACCACAAGACAGCAGCTAAGGGACAATGAAACACAAAGGAACATCACCTACCTGACTATTTAAGGTCCATGAAACAATTGGTACACAATTAGGGAAGAGAAGGTGATGACAAGTCTAAAAATTAGCTTTCACAGCTGGACCAGTCCACAAACACTTGCATTTTAAAGTACTCACACATAGCTGGTAATGCTTCATTTTACATCTTCCTCCATTCTTTGACTTCTATATCCTGAGTCTTTATGAAGTTCAGTACACTGAAATACACATTCACCTAGAATTGTACTACACCTGTGGGGACAAAGCTGTAGCCCACCTTTCTCTACTGACCTCTCTCATTATCGCTCGTATTTACACATAAGCAAGAACTCACAGTGAATACTGAATGTCTCAACTTGACCTACACCCAGTGATGCAGACATCCAAAAGCCACCTTAACAACCTCACAATAAGCTACCTGGCTGAGGAAAACCAGAAGATTAGCCCAGGAGACCACTTACCCTTTATGCAATCAGAACAAGACTGTCCTGTTGCAAAACACAAATGCTTTACTTTCCCTCCAGAGCATCTATATAAAGCAAGCATTGCCTACACACAGAGCAGTGATTGCTTAGGCACACTGGGGTAACTGTATCACTCCAACTCCAGCAGAGTGGAAAATGGCTACTTTATAGTCTGTGAGCATCCTAATTATGTGGGTGGCAGCACTTAACAAGGGAGGAGTCTCCCTTTTCTATCAGGTGATGTTTTTTTTATTGTTTCACTAGAGCCTGTTGCAGGGCTTCTGTATGTGGGAGCAGCTGCTATCACTTGCAAAAGTCAGGAATGCAAGAAAGCAGAGCAGTATCTTAGGGGAAGATTGGGATTTGTATGTGGCTTTGCTTGGGCCTGACTTCTTTAAAGTAAGCAAGTTGTAAGAAAAGTCTGAAAGAAGTTGTTTAGTCTAGAAAAGGCTGTAAGAAGAAGTGATAAAAATTTGTTACTCAAAAGGCGTGCTACAAAGAGCTTCCTTTTCCTATGTTACTGTGGAAGGGACAAATAATAACGGTTTGCGTTTGCTTCAAAGGTGATGCAGGTTGGCTGTTAGGGGGAGTTCCTCGCAGTAACTCAAGCCTGAGATAAGTCCCTCAGGGAGGAGGCAGCATCTCCTCTGTTCCTGAAGGCTGTTCACAAAGAGGGGCCCCAGGGTGGTTTAAGCATAGCAAATCCTGCCCTGGGGACAGAGATGGACTCTGAGCTCTTATTTTTTTTTCTTGATGGAAAAAATTATGTTGCAACTTCAAGGCAGGAGACTATTGTGGCTAGCAACAAGTACCAGAGCACATGTATCACACGACTAAAAATAATTTTACAGACTCATTTTTGTCAGTGTCCCTCCATCCGCGCTAGGAACTATGTTTAGATATTGCAGTAAAATGTACTCTCCCACTCCTGCACTGCTGATCCACGTGATACAACACTGAGCACTGATTAGCCTTTAAATTTCTCCAGGGAAACTACACTAGTCTTCTAAAAGCAAGACAAATATGCAAAGGCATGTTGCAGGGACCCATCTCAGGCTGTTTCTGGGCTTTTGGTGACACTTATCCATCCCTAGGAATCTTTTATACAGCAGACAATATAATGATATCGCCTAGTCAACTCCTTTGCAAAGGATTTCCAAACCTCACATGAAACCAT